ATCTATTCCTCACATGATGGGCCTTTTTGTTGTTTCCAAGTTTTGGCTATGCAAATTGTGCTACTATAAACATAGGTGCATGTATATCTCTATGCTATGATGTTTTCAGTTCTTTTGGGAAAATACCAAGAAGGGAAATATTTCATTTGAATGCTATTTCCAGTCCTAGTTTTTTTGAGATGTCTCCACATTGATTTCCATAGTGCTAGTACCAGTCCACATTCCCAACAACAGTCAAGAAGGGTCTTTTTTTCCCCACAGCCTCTCTAGCATTTGTAATTAGTTGATTTCTTTGTGATAGCCATTCTTTGTGGGGTGAAATTGTATCTCAATATTGCTTCAATTTGAATTTCTTGAATGGTCAGTGCTATGGAACTTTTTTTGTGTATTTGTCAGCTGTATTTCTTCTTCAGAGAAGTGTATAGTCATCTCAGATGATCATTTTTGGATTGGGTCTTTAAATTTTGGGGGCCTAATTTTTTTAGTTCTTTATATATTATAGATAGAACATCTTTGAGTGATTATTTGTTAAGATTTTTTCCCAATTTGTGGGCTGTCTTTTCACTCTGTTGGTGATTTCTTTCAACATGCAGAAACTTCTCATTAAGATGAGATTCTTTGCAGTATTTCCCATGCAGTTTGTTTTTGTTTGTGAACTGTCTGCCTACCCCATGTCTTCAAGATTGCCACCTACTTTTACTTCCTGGAGATTTAGTGTTTCTGTTTTAATGCTTAGATCTTTAATCCACTTAGACTTTAGTTTAGTGCATGATGATATACCTGAGTCTAGTTTTAGTTTTCAGCATGTGGAGAGCTGGCACCATTTATTTACTTATTTTTATTTTTTAGGGAAGGGTGTACAGGGTGTTCAGAGTCTTACTGCTAGATTGGACTCATAGTGATCCGCCTGTCTACAGCCTCTCAAGAGCTGGGATTACAGGCGTACGTCACCATGCCCAGTCTCAGTTGCGATCTCAGAGTGCCCCGGGGGTGGGGCTGGCACAACAGGTGCGGGGACTGAACCCCTAGCTCCTGTGCCTGCTTTCAGGTGCTTTAATCCACTGAGCTATTTGGCTGGCCCTAAGCACCATTTGTTAAAGAGCCGATCTTTCTTCCAGTGAACATGTTTGGCCCCTTCGTCAAAGATAAGATGGCTAAATGTGTTAGTAATTGTGTTTACATCTTCTAATCTGTACCACTGATCCTCAGGTCTCTCTCTCTCTCTCTCTCTCTCTCTCTCTCTCTCTCTCTCTCTCTCTCGTTTTTAGAAAGCTACTGTGATAAAATCAGCATAGTAATGGAAACTAAAAACAGACCTGAGGATCAATGGTACAGATAGACTCAGGTCTATCACTGTGTACAGCTGTATCTGCATCTTCTAATATGTTCCTTTGAACTCAGGTGCATTTTTTTTGTCAGTAAGTGGTGTAATTTATATTATTATAATATTTGGCAAATCATGCAATCTTCTTGTGTCTTAGTTTCCTTATCTGTACAAAGGAGATAAAACCTACTTCTAGAGGTATAAAAATGAAAATAATAAGTATATATAAAGAACTTAGTTACTGTCATATAGAAAGAACTCAGTGAAGTTAGCTATTATTATTTAAGCACAACAAATATCACAAAACACATCTTATTAATATAAAAAGTGAATTCCACCCTATGGGTCATGATTCCACTTGAGTCTACAGGGTAGATTTCAAAGAAATAGCTGTAGCTCA